GGTGGCGGCGGCGGCAAGAGCAGCGGGAGTACTCCATCCACGTCAGGGCAAGAGGTGCTCGCCTACCTCAAGAAACTCGGGATCGGCAGCTCGGCCATTGTGGCAGTTGGAGAGGCGGAGAAGAGGGCTACGGAGGCAGGGGAGAAGAAGGCACCCGCTGCGCAGTCTGCGCGCTGGCGGGTGGAGAATCTCAAGACCAAAGTCTCCAAATTGGAGGCGAGGGTCAGCGAGATCGAACGAAAGAGAAATGCTCTCGACGAGGAGCTCGCCACGGTCAACGAGTCCTTGGCCAAAGGGCGCGGAGACGTCTGTACAAGCTCAGGAGTTGCCGTGCAAGGCCCACGCTAGAGAGTTCGACGACCCGCTCAAGGCCATGTCTGCAGGGCTCGCCTCGTCCGTCGCCGAATCGACTGAGGGGAAGGCAGCGCTGGAGAAGCCTCAGCAGTTGCAGCGGGCCGCCGAGGAGGCGAAGTGTGCTGCTGACGATGCTGCGGCTGCTGCTGGCGCTTCTGCTTCCCCCGTCAGGAGGGAGCGGCGAGCACGTGGCCGCCAACGACGGCGACAGTGACGACATCGACATGGAGCTGCTGGGAGGTGAGAACTTGGCCGAGCGCAAGCAAGCCTTTGACACCGCAGCCGAGGAGTTCAAGGCGGCCAAGGACGGCCCCCAGGAGGTGCTGGACGCAGACAAACGCGAGTACCTGGCAGCTGCCCAAGCCATCGGGGTCAAGCGGGCGAGGAAGTGCGGCCCCTAGCTTGAGGCAGCCTGCCTTCGGCCACGGTGCGGGCTGGAGCATAGGCGTGGCCGACCTAGCAGCGTTCCACCAGCGCGACATGATCGACGCGGACTGGGAAAAGGCCACGGGTTGTGCTGTCCCAGTCTTTCGCGATGACCTGCTCTTGGAATCGAAGCTGTTCCGCCAGCTGGACTGCGAAGGGGCGCCGAGGCTCGACCCAGAGGAGTGGCCTACGCCTGGAGCTGGGCGCATGGCCCGAGGGTCCTCAAGCGCGTCGGCGGCAGGGCTGATTGGGCCGAGGAGGGCGTCTGCCAGTACTCCCCCAGATGGCCAGGGATGCTCCTCCCCTGGGCCGGGGGCAACATCGAGGCGAATTGGGTCGTCGGCTGGGACGTCGGCGTCGAGAGGTGCACTCGCGGTTCCTCCGGAGCCGCAGAGGTCGCCACAAGGACTTCGGGCCCCGGCGGGAGCTCGAGCAGACTTTCCCCAAGTGGCCAGAGATGTGCATTCCTCTGGGTTGGGGACAGGTGCGACATTGGTGGCGACTGGCTCTACTTCGGCCCCTGCGTCGACTGGGTGTTCGATGGCGCTAGAACGCAAATCCTGGAACCCTCCGAGGTGCCCAGGTTCAACGTCGCCCCCTGCCTACTCTTCCCCGAGGGCACCCCTTCCACAGGAGGCGGGGGCACCAGCGCGTGGGGAGGATGGGCAGGGTGTTGCTGGATTCAGTTCGCAGATGGTCTCGACATTGCTAGCGCAGAGAGCCGACAACGCGAAAATCATGCGAAAACGCATGGGGAATCAACAATGTCCTCGTGAGGCCCTCGAGGAGGTCCTCTTGGAGTTTTCTTTGAGCGTTTTGGGCCGCTGTGCGACGATCTTGGCGGCCACGGAGGGTGGAGTTGCAGGCTCTGGAGGCCCGGGGGTCTGTCGGGGAGCCAGCTCCCCCCCCCTCAAACGCGATGTCCCGGGGGAGGGGGAAAAAGGGCCTGGGGGAGGGAGAAGAGGTGAGGAGAACAGCCAAGTGTCTCACACGCCTGTGGCATGCGCACTCGGGAAAAAGGAGAGTTGCGTGCACAGGAGGAGGAGGAGGAGGGGGAGGTGGCAGGTGAGCAGGAGGGTGAGCGGGAGGAAAAGGACGAGGACACTTAGTAGCAGCATTAGCAGCAGCAGGAACTAAAACGGAAGGATCGGGAAAACATGTAGGATTTGGGGAAGGTTGAGGAGGTTGGGGAAGGTTGAGGAGGTTGAGGAGGTTGGGGAAGGTTGGGGAAGGTTGAGGAGGTTGGGGAAGGTTGAGGAGGTTGGGGAAGGTTGAGGAGGTTGGGGAAGGAGTGGGACGACAACGATGAAGAAATATTCGGAGTCAGAAAAGTTGCCGTCGTTGGGGCGAGAAGAGCAGCAGCAGCAGCAGCAGCAGCAGCAGCAGCAGCAGCAGCAGCAGCAGCAGGGCAGGAACTGGCGTGGAAGGAGCGGGAGGAACAGGAGGACCAGGGGAAGGCGGAGGAGGGGAAGTACGAGGCGGACCACAGTGAAGTTAGACTCGGATCGAAAAACATTGTCCGCGCTTGGGCGAGAGCGCCATCCTGAACAACGGGAGCAAAGCGCCGATCCGAAAAGAGGGCCCACGCTGCACCGAGAACATGTGCTGCAGCACCGAAAACAGTCGGATGGTAAGAACAAGAAAAGGGTGAGGCAGAGAGACAAGCAAAAACAACCAAATATCTTGCTCTTTCAGACCAAACAACAAACACGCGGAGGGGGGCGGGCCACTCTTGTAGCATCCTCGGGGGGAGGGGGGGAGGGAGAGGAGCAGCCCCGTGGTGCGAGTGCAGAGGAGATGGGGGCAGGGGGGGGGGCCTCTCCCCCCCAGATGCCCGCACGCCCCCACCCGTGGCGCGCCAGGGCCCTCGTGGACGAGTCGCGGGGCTTCCTGGCGCCCCCCTGGTCGTCGCAGCAGTTCCGCTCCTAGCGCCGCGAACCTGCTCCGCGCCCGCAGGCAGCCCGCCCCCCCCCCCCTTCCCCCCTTGGGGGGAGGGGCGACGGCGCGGCGGAGGAGGAGGAGGAGGAGGAGGATGTTTGTTTTTTGTTGGGCACCATGGCTCCCGCGGCATGCTTAAAACACACTCAGCGTGTGAGATATTAGAGTAACTCCGTTCGCGGACGGAGACCCTTCAGTATCTTGTTCCACGCATCTGGACTATATTTGCCTGGCGGACGGCCAGAGCAAATCTTGGCAAGTTCAGCCAAACGAGCTCCAGAGGTGTATCACTTGCATTTCTCACACACACACACACACACACACACACACAACCACGAACCCCCCGATGCGTTCAAGAGTTACACCTGTGGTTCCGATCCCTGAGTTCTAGCACATTGAGTTTGAGGGATCCTGAACAGTTGCCAGGTGGCGGGGACGTGCTCGCATCGTTCCGCGAGGTCCGCAGACACCCTTGACAACACCAAAAACGCTGATCCCCGCCAGGCGGCCCCACCCACTCCCAGTGATGGGGGTTGGGGGCGACTCGTGGACAAGGAGAGGTCGGCGAATACCACACAGCACAGGAGAGGTCAGTGCGAGGCCAGAGAGGCAGCAGTGTGGCGGCGAGTCTGGCTGCAAGCTGGGCCGAATTCGTGAGGTGGTCACATTCTTCAGCCACCTCGGACTCGGGCTGCGCGTGGGTGTCGGCTCCCAACTTCGCAGCTCTGTCAGCATAATCGTTCCCGAGACGTCGAAATCGCTCGTCTTCGCCGATGTCGGGATCATCGGGCGACAAATGCGCTGTGACCTTCTCACACCCAAGCATCCATTTTCCCCGCCAAACAAACGACCCTGCAACGCGAGCCCCGAGTATGGACGCTTGGGTGAGAGCTGCTCAAAACTCGGGAGGCCGTGCATTGAAACAACATTCTGGCAATCCGAGTAGAGCACAGTAGGTCCTGATAACACAGCGCCAGCCATAGCCTATACTGCAAACTCGCCAGCCTGTGGAGTCTGAAGGCAGCTGTCCCACACAGGCCCCCACATCATGGCGAGAAGATGCGAGCGAGGGCCTATCATGGCCAGCCCCCACCGCGCTCTTTTCGAACTGCGAACAAGCCTACGGGTGCACGACCCGTCGAGAAGGAGGAGGAGGAGGAGGAGGAGGAGGAGGAGGAGGAGGAGGAGGAGGAGGGGGAGGAGGGGGGACGGAGGAGGAGGAGGAGGAGGAGGAGGAGGAGGAGGAGGAGGAGGAGGGAGGAGGAGGAGGAGGAGGGGGACGGAGGAGGAGGAGGGGAGGAGGAGGAGGAGGAGGAGGAGGAGGAGGAGGAGGAGGGGGGACGGAGGGGGGACAGAGGAGGAGGAGGAGGAGGAGGAGGAGGAGGAGGAGGAAGAGGGGGGACGAAGGAGGAGGAGGAGGAGGAAGAGGAGGAGGAGGGGGGAAGGAGGAGGAGGAGGAGGAGGAGAAGGAGGAGAGAGGAGAGGGGCGGGGGGCATCCCCCATCCCAGGGAAGAGGCCGAGAGTGCGCAAGGTCCGGGCCCCCTGAATGGGGTCCGAGTGGATGGGGTCGGGGGATCGCGCCGCGTCGCCGAGGCGTCGACGATGTGGCTCGGTGTGGAGCCCTTCTTGTTGTCCCACGCCGACGTCACCGATGCCTTGCCGACGTCGCCGATACATCGGCGATGCACTGGCGATGCGGCGCGAACCTTCGACCCCATCCAAGAGGCCTGTAGAAGGTCGGAGAAGGAGGAGGAGGAGGAGGAGGACACGAAGGAGGCGGCTTCTCTTTCCTTTTTAATTTGCACAGGTGGCACTGTGACTCGAACCGTTTTATTGGCCGACCGACCGACCGACGGAGGAGGGGCGGAAGAGGAGGACACGAAGGAGGGGCGGAAGGCGGACGCGGGACGTGGGCAGCAGCGCTGTCGGTCTACGGGCAGCGGGCCGCGCGCGGCCCACGGCCCAGCTCGGGCCTAGAACTCGCCGTCGGACGAGCATGTGTTCTCGACCGGGGCGGAAAGGCGGAGGAGGGGCGGGGCGGGGAGGGGGAACCGATGAACATAGTGGCATGGTGCATGCAGTTGTCGCTCGATCAACTGCCGGCATCCGCAGATCAAAGAACACGTCGAGACCAGGAAGCACGATGCGTGAAGCAAGAGCCGCACCGCGCGCTGAGCGCAACAGATCGGGCTATCATGGAGCAGACTCTGTGGCGCTGTGAGGCGCGGGCACAGCGGAGCAGGCGTACGCCAGGAAGGAAGGCTTGAATATGAGAATGGGACGCAGGAGAGACGGATGAGGAGGTGGAGCAGTGGACGAGCAGGAGGAAGAAGCGGAGATGGCGAGGAGGATGAAGAGGAGGAGGAGGAGGAGCAGCGCAAATCCAAGACTCATCAACAACATTGCGATCAACCCTCCCTCCAAGTTTCCTCTGCACAGGTCCCTACAAGGGGTCATTTCCTCTGAAGGAAGTGCCCCCGTTGGAAAACAGCCGTTTGAAGAATCCTGAATCGTGCCAGAACACCGTTCCTGGGACTCCAACGCCGCGACTCACCACTACCGCGGCGGTTTGACAAGCGTGAGTTGTGCTAGAAAACCATGAGACCAGAGAAAAACCCAATCAACATCTTTTTAGGGCTACAGGGCTACAGGGCTATATGGGCTCTTGGGCGCCATATGGGCGATATTGCAATATGGGTTATAGGGCTTAAGGCTATAGGGCTATAGAGCGATGGGGATACAGGGCTATAAGGCTATAGGGCTACGGGGCACCGGGCACCCAGGCACCCGGCACCCGGCACCCGGGCACCGGGCACCCGTCACCCGGGCACCTGGCCAGGCACCCGGGCAACCGGGCACCCGGGCCCGGCCACCGAATCGGCGGCGAACCCGGGCACCCGGGCACCCGGGCACCCGGGCCCGGCCACCGAATCGGGCACCCGGGCACCCGGGCCCGGCCACCGAATCGGCGGCAAACCTCACCTACCTTTAAATCCGCTAGGACCCCTACAGAGGCAAGCTCTGATTGGGGAATTCTTGGGGCTCCACCACGAATCAGCGTAACCTTTGCGCCCTGACAGTCCGACATCGTGCCAAAACATTGCTTCTGGCACGTTAGCGATTGAAATCTTACGCAGTGCTTTAAATTCTGAAAGCGACTGCACGCAGCGCTAAGGCGCGCGCGCAGTCGGTCGTTTTCGTCGTCGTCGTCGTCGCCTCCCCTGTTCCTATGGTCGTTCCCCTACCCTCGTCGTCGTCCTCCTCCTCCGTTCCCGTCATCGTCCTCCGCCTGCATAGATGCCAAAGGAGAGAGATCTAGGAATACAAAAGAAGCAAATCGCCTGAAACACCGCCACCACAATGTAGGCGCGAGTATTGGAGTGTCGTGGCCCCTGGCGGATGGTTCCTTTTTGAAGTGCCCAAGTGCCACGCTTGCTAGGTCGCGGTAAGCACTGGGCCAAACACAACGAGAGCAACGATTGAGCAGCGCAGTTGCCAGACAACGCTTGTCATTCGCGCATACTTCAATTCATCTGGTTTTGATTCGCCCGGTTTAGATTCATTCGGGCTTCAATCGTTTTGTTGAATTCATAGAGTTTTAGTTCGCCTGGTTTAAACTCATCCGTTTTAGATTCGCCCCATTTACAATCATACGGTTTGAATTCGCCCGTTTAAATTCATACGGTTTTAATTTTCCCGGCATTTGCCCGGTTAAAATTCGTCGGGTTTAAAGTCGCCCGTTTAGAGTCATCAGGTTTCAATTCACCCGAGCCGATTTAAATCCATCCGTTCTTAATTCGCCCGTTTGAATTCATCTGGTTTTAATTCGCCTAGTTTGAATTCATCCGGTTTTCATTCGCCCAGCTCGCATGCGACAACACGTACAGCAGGGAAGCGGGCGAAGCACAAGCGGACGAAACAAAAGCGGATGAAGCAAAAGCGGATGAAACAAAAGGCGGGCGAAACAAAAGCGGGCGAAACAGAAGCGGACGAAATAAAAGCGGACGAAATTCGAGCGGGCGAAACAAAAATGATGAAACAAAAGTGGGCGAAACAAAATTATTCTGGCGAGAGCGCATGTGGACACCGACATTGCGGTCTCCGGTGGAGCTCATGATGAGGCCCCGAAACGTGTGAGCGTTGTGCTGACATGGGTGGCGCGGACGCATGTGGACACCGGCACTGGGGACTTCGGTGGAGCTTCTAGGGGGCCACGAAACGTGAGAAGTGTGTGCCGAAATGGGTGGCGCGGACGCATGTGGACACCGTCACTGGGGCCTTCGGTGGAGCTCTCTATGGGGCCACGACGCCTGTGAGTGGACACCGCCACTGGGGCCGTCGGTGGAGCTCCATGGGTCCACGAAGCGTGTGAGGGGTGTGCCAGACCTGATGGCGATGACGGTGATGATGTCGGCGATGACGGCGACGATGATGACGACGATGATAACGATAACGACGATGGTGATGATGAAGACGACGACGACGATGATGATGATGATGATGATGACGATGATGATGGTGAGAGGAAAAGGAGGGCCCAACACCACTGCACGGTTGGGAGAAACGTCCAGGCCTGCATCGAGCTTGCCGCCCCTCCTCATCCTCCTCCGCTCGGAGGCTAAGGGGAGGAGCTCGAGGAAGGGTTAAGTCGGGCGTGTCCCTCTACAGGAGGAATATTCAAAAATAGTAAAAATTGTCTGGGGACGACTGTTTGGGTAGTTTTGGGCTGTGTCTGAATATGTTTCTTGTATTTTTTAGGTTTCGTCAAAAATCCGCCTGTAGGGGGACACGCCCGACCTAAAGGAAAAGTCTGGGAACTATGAGCTAGGATCCGAGGATACTTGGGTGTGATGAGTGTTCTGTTGGGCTCAACTGGATTTGGAGAAGGGCTTTGCGGGTCTCAGGAGGCGGTCGATGAGGAGGAGGAGGAGGAGGAGGAGGAGGAAGGAGAAGGAGGAGGAGGAGGAGAAGGAGAAGGAGGAGAAGGAGA